GTTTGTTTGTTTTTGTTTTTTTGTTTTTTTTTGGGATTGAGGGAGAGGTCGCTTTTTGTGGGTTGGCTATTTTCATCTTTTTAAAAAATACTTTTTGTTTTGTTTTTGTTTTTGTTGCGGCACACATTTAAATCAGTGTGCGCAAATTAGAAACACAGGCAGGAAGAAAAGGGAGATAAGCACGTAGTGTATTGGATGTTGAGAGGGGTGGGGGTGGGGGTGTGATGGCGTAAATGAAGAAGTGGGGAGGGGTGTGTTTGTGCTTCCACGCATGTAAGCACGTTTAGGTCTATGTGACTATGGTATGTGTGTGTGTTAGTATTGTGTGTGTGTGTGGGGGGTAAATTAACGAATAAAATCACAGGTTATGAAGATAATTAGTAGAAGACTTCTAAGTGCTTGCACCAGCATCCCTCACCTGTTTGTACATCTCTGCCGGAGTGCCCAGAATCAAGATGGCGGACATGAAGGAGACAAGGATGGAGATGGAGACAGGGATGATGCCCAGACTACGGCTTGCCATCAGGTAGTCTCCTGGGGAATACACACACACACAGGAGAATCACACACAATTGTATACGCGGAACTGTGGTGATGTTGTCAGAGTTTAACGACACTTACTTGCGACATAATTAGGTCATATTATGTTAGGTGTCGAAGATGAGAGGCGTTGAGAGGCGTTGAGAGGTGTTGGTTAATAAGAGTTTTACGGCATTTGCAACACAATCTATATTATATTATATTCGTGAAAGTTCGTCACGTTGGTCCCCTAAAACTTCCTAAACACTTAACTTTTGAATTTGAAAAAAAAAAATACATGTGGTTCAGGATCATTTAATGGGTGCACAGTTATATTGAGGAGTTTGCAGTCACTCTAGTTTAATTTTCAGTTTTTCATTAGTTTCGTTTATATCTAATCTTGAGAAAGTCCGTCTTCTAAGACGCCATCCATTGTAAACATGTGAGGCTTTCATTCACAAGCAGTGCGTACTGGTTCCACAAATACTTGACGATCGATTCCTTTGAGTCCGTTCATCGAACGGTTACCCTGCTAGTTAGGTCAGAAGTGCTGAAGATTATAGGTGTTACAAGAGAGTATCGAACCCACAATTGAACAGGGCAAACTGATTGTTTTGTTTTCAGAGTTTTACGGTCTTGTGACACAATTAGGTCGTATAAGAGCCGGAGATTAGAGGTGGTGTGGCTTCTGTGGTCGCTTTCTCTCCTAATCTTTTGTGTTTGTAACTGTCTTCTAATACCTTTAATATGCGGCATGCATGTGATGTATATGACCTAATTATGTTGCAAGTAAAAATAAAGTTAAAAAAACAACAACGGTAAATATAAAAGATTATAGTTGAATTTAAGTATAGACGAAACTATGCCTGGTTTAGTCGCAGTTTTACAGCAGTGTCACCATCTGCTGCAAGCTTGCCCAATATTTGAGGCACTTGGAAAGAAAGTGGCCCAATTCTGGGCGGAGAGACCTGAAAGTCTTGAGCAACAGAAGCTTTCGCACTAGACACTGGAATGTAATTTAAGCCAAGAAGAAGAAGAAGAAGAAGAAGAAGAAGAAGAAGAAGAAGAAGAAGAAGAAGAAGAAGAAGAAGAAGAAGGAGAAGAAGAAGAAGGAGAAGAAGAAGAAAAAGAAGGAGTTTTACCACACTAGCAACACAATTAGGGCATTATAAGCATATGAGTGTCGTAGATTAAAGGTGTTTTAAGAGAGAGGAGCAGGCAAGCAATAAACAGGAGAGGAGGAGAGATAAGGGCGATAAATGTTTGGTAAAAAAGAAGAGGCAAACCACACAAGAGCATAATTTTTATTATAATTATTATTTTTATAATCATTGTTTTAATTATCTATATTATCATATTTTAAAACTATTATTCTGTTTATTATTTTTTTTTTGTGGTTTTCTTTAAATTACATATTTTATTATAATTATTTGTATTATTATTAAGTAAATAAAACCCATTTGTGTGGTGCAGCTGATAGAATCTAGACGCTTTGTGTCGCACACAGGAGACACGACTTAAATTCCGGCGTGGGGGAATTTTTATCGAGTATTTTGTTCTTTGTGTTTTTACTTCGTACCTCTTCTCAGCTCGTGTTTGACCCTGGCAGGCAAAGGGGAAAAGGGGGGGGGGGGATTGAAAGCCAGCCTCGCACGTGATCTATACTCTTTGTGTCGAATGGTAGCAAGAAAAATAACTGCGTTGAATGAAGGGTTAGAGTGAATACTCTTCATGTTTTTCGTTGTTTTGCTTAGAGGGAGGTTTCTTTCTCTTGAATATTTAATTTTCCAAGCGCGTGCACGACAAACATGAACAATGTATTCTAAAGCAACGGGGATCTCATTTTGCTCCCTTTACGAATAGGTGCCGTGCTCTTTTTTGTTATTCTTTACAAATATCTACAGCGCCCCTGTTTAAACCATTTACGAATAGGCATAGTATTCTTTTTGTTCTTTACAAATATCTACAGCGCCCCTGTTTAAAGCATTTACGAATAGGCATAGTGTTCTTTTTGTTCTTCTTACAAATTTGCACAGTGATACTTTTGTTTTCTTTAGGAATAGGCACGGTGGTCTTTTTGGTCTTTTTCCAAATATGCACAGAGTTTCATTTTGGTCCATCTACGAATAGGCATAGCCCTCCTTTCTTTTGTTCCTTTTACGAATAAGCATACTATTGCTGTTTCTGTTCCTTTTTAAAAAATTTTTTTTTTTACGAATGTGCATTTTTAATGAAGAGGGATTGAGGGAAGAACGAGTTGTCTTTTCTTTTCTTTTCTTTCTTCTTCTTTTGGGGGGTCCTTTTCACGAGTAATGATAAATATGCTGTGCACTGAGTTCATTTACGTTCCGTTCACGACCTTGCACGGCGCATGTAAATACTGTCTTTCTCTTTCTTTCTGTATCGTGTTCGTTCCAAGGACGCTTTCTCGGCGCTCGCTTACATTGTGTTTGGCCAATAGAATTAAAATCTAACTAGGACTACAGTTCAGGAACTGAGGAAGGGAGGACGAGGCACTGTTTTCTTGTCTTGTGTGTTTTTTACCCCCCCTCATTGACGTAATTCAGATCATTCAGACGGATTGCTTTGACCCTGCTACTGCCTGTCACGGTCAACCTGGGTAGAGAGTAGAGGTGGGCAAAATCCGGATAAATATCCGGATAATCGGATAATTCTCAATTAGACATTATCCGAATTCAGACTCTTTATCTCTTTTTCCTTTCCCGTTTGCCGAAGTGGGAGCACCCATTTGTTGATGTTATACTAACCCATTTGTTCAAGTGGTTCTAACCCATTTGCCGAAACGGTTCATATAACATATTATTTACCGAAGTGGTGCTTTAGCATATTATCCGGATTTTGCTAAAGCGACTCTTTGCCCAGCCCTAGTAGAGAGGGATACAACGTCCCAACAGGAAGACTGAGGTACCTGATTAAAGATGTCCCAACAGCAGAATAGAACTCAAATCTTCTACGTGCAATGCTTGGTTATATTATAAGTGTATCGAAGAAGAGAGCTGGTAGTAGAGAGGAACCTACAATAAAGAGAAGGAGGGGGGGGGGGGCGAAAAGTAGGATAGATGTTTGAGAGGAAAGAAGGGGAGTTTGTGGAGTGGGGGTGGGGTGGGGGTGGTGTACAGAAATAAAAGAACAAAAGTACACGACAAAATATTGAGTACTGATACTATAATCATTATCATCAAGACGAGATAGTCTCTCCCAAATATCGTACAGTGGGCGGTTGGTGGATGTTCTGGAGTGGTTTGTTCCTTCTTTTCTATCAAACATCGATCCTCTTGATTTCTCCTCCTTCTTTTTTGTGTTTGTCATTATTTTGTAAATAATCTAATCTTCGGCACTCTTATGACCTTAATGTGTTGCAAATGCCGTAAAACTCTTACAACAACTAAGAAATTGTAAACTAAACACAAAATGGTTCATTCCTCTCTCACTGAGCGCATTAAAATCCGGAGGCGTTCTCTTCGAAAAGGCACGACATACTTTTCGAACAGAGTTACCCTATTTATGTTGGGAAAAGAACCAAAGTCATACTAGAGACTAGTTTTTAAGTAAATTAGAATTCAAATAAAGAGGACAGCCTGATCATGCTGGCAAAAAAGGCTCTTTTCAGTTGGAGGAAGCAACTTTAATTGTCATTCAATTTAGCTTTAGAATGAGAGACGAGAGGTCATTCAAATAAAAATAAAAACAGCTCTGCACTGAGCGAACCCGAACAGCGGATTTAAGACCGATGAAAAGCAGTCTCTCCTCATGTGTAAGAGGTTACTTTTCCTATTCTCCTTCTGGGGAAAAAAATGAAAAACAGCTTTAAAACAGCGACTGTAGCGCCATCTGAAGAGAAGCGAGGTCGGCAATGGACACTTTTTGGCTGAGTGAAACTTTTTATAGTGCTGTCACGACGTGGTGGAATCAGGCGCTCGTCAAAGTTTGGGCATGTGAAGTTATTGCTAACATCTAAAGGCTTAATATTCGTTTGCCTTGTTTGCAAAGAAAAAAAAATACCCATCTATCTTGAATAGAGGTTGAGATATTTGC